CCATTTATTTACTTATTTGCGTACTTGCAGGGGAAGCAGCTCACCCAGCCCATTTTGCTGAGCAGTTGTGAGAGAGCCTGTGTGAGCACTCCAGGGATTTTTTGACCTACATGCATTTTCTGGCATTTTAATGCCTCTGTTATGCTGGAGTACTCTGTGGGGAATTTTGCACTGCTTTCACAAGAAGGGAAAATAAAACCTCTGTTTTCCTTTCACCAGGTTAAGTGTGGTGGTGCTCACACAGCAGATTTAAGGGCAGGTGCCTACACAGGAGCAGAGGGCTTTGTGCGCTTGCAGGGCTTGGCCTGGTGTACACACAGAAGCAGCTGGGCAGCTGTGTCTAGCTGTGGTGCTGGGCAACGAGTGTCCACGGTGGGAACCGAGCTCTGTCAAAGCAAGTGTTGGGGTCTCTGATATCACCACTGAAAGTGCTCTTCAGAGTCTCACTTAGCACCCATGGGGATCACCATTGGTGCCAGGGAAGCAGCCCCCAGGGCTCTGCAAAGCTGCTGGTGCAGCCACACTCCTGCTCTGGCAGCTGCAGAGTGTGGGCTTTGTCTCACCAGGGAGTGTCCGGCCGTCCCCAGTGCTTGCTGCCAAAGGGGAACCCAAAGAGGGACCTGCAGGACTCCTTTTTGCATGTCACTGCTGTGGCAAGTCTCAGCAGGTGTGAATCCCACTGATTCGTGAAGAGGAAGAGGGTGTAGAGAGGGACAGGGAAGAAAGTTTAAGTCTGCAGCTGTGTAACCTTTTGAATTGATATTGTGTACTAAAGTGTTTCAGGTGAGCTTTAAGAGACAGCGATGTATCTCAAAGTAAGAAATCTCAGGGAAGTTTTGGGGTTTTCTTCATGGGCCACTTTTTCAGTGACAGACCATTTTGGGGGGGGAAGTGCTGACCGCATCCAATACAACTTGAGTAGTTACAGTGAATGGAAATGAGCTTCAGCTTGCTTTGCAATACACTCAGTATGAGCTGACCTTTACATGATGTCATTTTGGATAAATACAAATTTACATGTGTTGGTCTAAATTATCTGAGGGAGCTGGCTTTTCGGAGCTCTTCTTTTATGTAAGAACGGGGTGGGGACATCGCAGCCCTCCTGAGGCCATTTCCCTCTTTCTCAGATCACTGGCATTACAAAATCGGAGAGAGGTGAGGAGAGGAATCTGTATCCTGTAGGACAGTGTATTGGTAGCTCAGCGTGTCCTCTGACCTGACCAGCCACAGGCTGCATGGTGACCATGCATGGAACTCTTCAAAGAGTTAAACTGCTGTACTCTCCTGAGACCCCTGTTCTATAAGTAGCCTCTGTAAGGAAGTTATCCAAGCTGTGGTTATTAAATAAACTTATAAAGATATGTAGATATTTGAACAACACCATTTTTTTCTCATTTATTTCCCTCTGAAATTCAGAAATATTAAACAGAGGGGTTCATATTATAGGAATGTCGCAGAGATCATGTAAAATTTTGCTGATTCCTAATCTGTGTTTCTCTGACACCTTGCATTTTAACGGAACACAGGTGTTTTATGTCACATGGGGAAAATAGTAGCACAGTGAAGAGGAAAAAATGTGTTTCATACACTTATTTATGAACTTACATCTGCTTTCATCAGAGTCAATGGTTGGCAAAACTCCAGTCAGCTTCAGTAGGAGCGGGTGCTAAAATTAAGCATCAAATCAGCTTGATTCTAAGAAACCCTGAATAAAGGCAGGGCTTCCAGGTCCAAGGATCCATGGAGAAATACTTTCTTCAACAATCGTTTATCAGCAATCAGAGCTGAATCAGCTCAGGACTGGACAAAGTGCTCTTGGGTAGCATGACTGTAGTCTTTCCACTTTTTTTTTCTTTTTTGTAAATTCCAGGTGTAACACAGTATATTTACAAAGGGGAGAAAAAACCATTCAGCTGTGAAGAAAACCATCTCGGGTTTCATTTCAGACCTGGAGCTGCGGATGAATCACTGCAAAGCTGCACCCTTTACATTGGGCACACTCTGAAAGCGTCTTTTCCACTGCCCCTGCTCCCCCAGTGGTTCAGAAATAAAGCAGACTCACAGAAAGTCCTAAAAAAGCCTTTGCAGACAATCACTCTCTTGTTGTTCTGGGCACTAGAAGTACCATTTTCTAGCGTCTGCTTTCAGTTTTGCTTTCTATACCGTAGAAGTCTGTTCCAGCCATTTGAATTAAGCCTTGGTTCAGTGGTATGCGTAAGCACACGCTCAATTTGAAGTACCTGAGTAGTCCTGTAAGCTCCCATGGAGCTGCTTACATGTTTGAAGTTAAGGGTGGTCTTCGAGGATTTGCGGAACTGGGTATTTACTTGTCCACCCAGAAAGCTAACAGGACAAAACCCTTGACCATCTCTTTCTGGATTTTAATGAAAAGTTATGACTTATTTATGATCTTCTTTCCCACCCCCATCTGTTTATATTCAGATCAGAAAAGCAGCTCAGAAGCCCTGTCAGATTGCCAAAAGCTGTGTGCTACTACTGGATCTTTCACATCATTTACTATTCAGTGTTTTTAATGCACTATTGCCCCTAGAAGTGGTGTAGGCTAATACTGATGTGATATTTCATGTCAGCAGCAAGATTTTTATGTCCCTATATCCCAAGTACCTTTTCACAGAAAACCCAAATAAAGTAAGTGTGCCAGTTAGGCCAAAGGATGCTGCTAGTTCCCTGTTTCCCCAAACCATCCCTAGGAAGTCAGTGAATGGGCCAAATGGTTCTTCCTTTTGTCTTTGTAGCATAACTAACCTTGGGTGGCAGGTTGGGTATCTGCACAGGTATAAGGGCAGGAGTTGGATGATGTTTCCAAATATACATGATTTAATATGCGTACTCACTTATAAATATATGCCATTTGTATTTGTTAAAGGTAAACAGAAAAAGCCAACATTTTAGTCACAAGCAATCATCACAAAAGCTCTTTTTCAACATGTTTATGCCTGAAAGAAAAAGTTACTTTGTTTTCCTTAGCTCTGTTCAAACAGAAATAAGTTGCATCCCAGAATTATATTTAGAGCTATATAGTGGGATAGAAAAGTTAAACCCGAGAGAGAATAATGCCCAAGTATTCTGATTCTGAGAGGAAAGGCTAAATTCACCACCGCTTAATGACAGGCAAGACCATATGCTGACTATGTCTTCCCTTGTGGTTATTATTCAGTCCTGTGGTTGAGAAAGCAGCTGTAGGACCCTTACACAAGACAGATTTCATATGTAGTATGTCACACGGCACCCAAGATATATTATACCTGAAAAAGGTATGTGAAGCCAGCATTTCCCAGGCAACATTCAAGATCCTGTTCCTTCTCCTAAAGAAGATGACAGTACCCATTGAATGGTTTCTGTGATATATTTTATTTTTAAACCGAAAGCCATCAGCAGTTATTTTATTTTTTTTAATATATACATTAACACAACACGGTAAAATTAGTTGTAACACTGCATATAAAAAACGTGATATATACTAAATCTTTTCAGCTTTCCAAGTGCTCGTTATTTTTTAAAACACGCGTATGAGAATTATGACTCCATTAGTTCCTGACCCATGGTAGTGCTGAGAAGTCAATGTAACTGAGTCACTTGGGAATTGGATAAAATATCTGCCACATCCTTTTGATGTATGTTGAACAGACAGTGGTCCAAACTGTACATTATTTTTCCTCTTTTGTCCTCAAAAAAGTAGCAAAACTCATCTGGGAAAGCACCCGTATTCTGACACTGGTGGATTTACAGTGACGTTGCTGCTCAACACTCACAGCAAGAGCTGGGATTTCTGAGCTGGGGAGAGCAAGAGGCTCTGAGTGAAACATATTCTGGAGGGCAGGGGGCAGATTCTGAAACATGCTTCCAGGAGTGTGGGTGTTGGAGCGTCTCTAGATTCTCTGGGCTGAAAATTAGTTGGTTTGCAAGGAACCAAAATGAAGCATCACAGCCTGACCTGCTGCTTGTTTAGTAAGACTGCAGTACAGTTCAGGAGTTAAATGGTAGGACTAAAAGAAAGTTTGTTAGTAATGTAGTATCACTAAAGAAACCAAAACCCATCTAACACCCTCCTTCCCTTGCCAAACAGCCTCTTTACATTTAAAGGTATTCCCTGTGGCTCTGTTCTTTATTTTGATTTTTGTAACATTTTTTCTCTCTCTGATGAAACACGTTGTAGACATTAAATTAAGGGACAAATATGTCTGTGTCTGCCAGAAAGAAAACTGTGATGCAATTAAAATGCCATTAGGGAACCCCCTGTGGGATGTTAAACCTAAAGACTCTATTCAGAAAGCAAAGCCAAAATTAAAGACGTGTCTAGTTGCAGATCCTCTGCAGATTTCCATTTCTTGACTACAGTACCATGGAGACTGTGCTAGTCAGGAGCTGAAAGGTTTTTCCAGTCATGTGTGTGGTATTTTGAATCATGGCTTTGGCAAATGTTCCTTTTCTGTAAGCCATACATAGAAGCGTGTCTACATTGCATGACATAAAGTGCAACTGAGCGTGGCCCACATGAAGCAATTACAACAGTGGAGATGGGAAGCTTTCCAAGGCTTGGACAATGACAACTAATAATGCTTTTCCCTCAGCAAATTTGCATTAAGTGCATCTCTATGTTTGCCGAGTTGTCTGTGAGATGTTTGGAGAGAGAAGTGCAGCTACTTGCAACCATCACGCTCAGCAACCTCATGAATAAGCTTCCATTTTAGCTGGGTCTCTGGAAATAAATCGTTAGTGCTTATATGTTTGGAGACATATAAGAGCCTGATACTTTGAAAATAAAAATAAAATATATGGTCCATTGAGGCTAGTCATTTTTTCTGAGGCAACTGAAGGAATCAGCAGAGTCATTGGGTGGTAGGTATTGAGTTTTCCAGTGACAGCCCAACTCTGGTGCTTGAGTCTCATTTTTTCCATTTCATTCAGCATAATTCTTTGCTAAGGATATTAGTAGGGACTGGAATAATCATAGAAGCACACCTCTCTTCTGTGTCTAGGAATTCTCCTGATGACTGCAGCGTGGCAAAAGGAGGGAAAATGGTTAGCGGCTCAGACAATGTTGGGATGAACTATGGAAACTACATGGAAGAGAAGCACGTTCCACCCCCAAATATGACTACCAATGAACGAAGAGTCATTGTACCAGCAGGTTAGACCCTCTACACAAAAATTTCAAGCAAAAAAATGCATTTCCCCTAAGTCTACTAACATTATTTAAGAGTATTTGGAGAAAAGTGGCAATGTGATACATGCGATCAGGAAGAAAAGAGCAGCAATTTCCCAGGGTTGTTAAAAGAACGAGCTGAGAAATACCGTAGTGAAGCCGCCTTCTCTACCTGTTTCAGCAGCAGGACTGGACAGTTACAGGCACTCAGATCTTTTCTGACTTCTCTAGCTCCTTTCAGAGAGTTTCACCCTAAAGTGGACAAAATGAAGAGCCACTTTCATTTTCTAACACCATGGACTAGCTGGGTGCTGAGTGTGTGGGAGAGAGAAAGGAAAAGGATCACTGTACCACATGTTAACCCTGCATATACCAAATGCAGTCTGGCCCTCAGCATGCTGAAAAAACAATAGCTTCTGTGAAGTCTGACAGTGCATGAAAAGCATTTAGCTAGGTTATCCCCTGAGTTTGGGTGGTGTAAAACATTTTAATAAGCAAACTGACAGCTCCACTGCAATGTAAGAGCACAATTGAGAAATTCTTGGTTAGTCTTGGCAAGCTTGGTTGTGGGATTCAGCAGTTAATTGAACAAGGAGGCATTCACTCCTGTGTGCCTTGTCCTCCAAACAAACCTCTACTGGGAGGTTTGTTGCCTCGGTTTGCAAAATAATTAGCATCCCTATTTCTGAAGTCAAACCTTTAGACCATCATGACACATGTGGGTGTTCATTAACCACTGGATATGCTCAGCAGAGACACAACACCTGCAACCTGCAAACAGAAGGGAATGTTTTGTTGCTAGTTCCTCTCTAGCAGAGCTGTGCCTATCTGAAACATTTCTGCTACTGCTATATTGCTTAATATTCTTACAGTTTTTCAGTTGCTAAGATATGCAAGAGTACTAACTGTGGCAAATTTTGCAAGCTGTGATTATTTCAGTTATTTGTCAAGATACATGTGGACAAATATGTTGCAGTATCCTCTGCAATGTTATTGAGAGTTCTGTTCTGAAGACAGAGGAGTGACGCACTGAATAATGAAGTGTCCTGTCAACTGGAGGCAGACTACACTGACATTCACAACATTTGAATGTTCTTCTAAAACATTTGTCTTCTTGGTGTTTGGCACTTTTTTAGTCTTTTAGTAACCTTTAGCATGGTTAGCTCAGCAAGATCCTTTGTTCTCAGTGTGTTCCTGGAGGTGTGTTTTGAGGTGGATTTGAGTGACATTCAGGGAATTAGATGGTCACAGTTACAGCCTTGCTGTTTTGAGGTCCCTAGAAGAAATGTATGGGTAAAAATCAGTTGATTTTGTCTGGCTGCCGCATAGGCAGTGTGCAGCTCATGTGTCAATGTTTAGGAATAAAAAAAGCAAAATTCACATTTCCAGCTGTGGTAACTTTCCTAGTTACCATAAATAAGAAGCATTTAAAAATTATAGGCATATTCAAAATTTTTTGGTAAACTTCCTGTTATTTGGTCATTTACTTCAAATCAAACTGAATGTAGTTGTTGGAGTTCTCTGCTGTAGGTGTGGGCAATCTCATCCAGACTCTAGGTTTACCACCAGACTTGCATCCCTCTAGTTTGCTGCATATTTCACACCAGATGGAAGGGTTCTTTTAAGTGTTTTTTGGTGCACTTCAGAGAGCAGAGAAGCCCTTTGAATCTTCAGAAGATTAAATATTCTGACTTGCAAGGGCTTAAAATGCCAAGAGAAGCATCAGAAAAGGGGTGGCCCTAATGGGTGAAGGATTGGGAGCGAGCAACAGCATGACAGATTTTGAATAGTTCCTAGCCTGTGGAAAGAGGTCCCTGCCTCTTTCAGACCAGCTTGAACAACAGTCAAAAGAGAGGGAATGGCACTGAAGTTAAGCCACGGAAAAGCTATCTCGTCTGTCATTCAAGTCTCAGCCCTTCTACAGACTTGCATGTGATGGACTACAGCCATTTGACCTCTGTGTGCCCCGTTCTCAGTCGTCAGGATATCACAGAATCACAGTGTCTTTTAGGTTGGAAGGCATAAACTCTTGAGGATTTTTTTTCCCCTTGGTTTTAATCTTTTCTCTGCAAAGTATAAATTCTTCATGGTAGGAGCGGTCTTCCATTATGGAGATGTACACTGCAGGTCCTTAGAGACCTTCATGTTGATGTGTGCTTACTGTAATTCAAGAATAGGGAAAAGTAGAATGGAAGAAAAATAGATAAGGAGGAGTTCGGAGGCAAAAAAATAAGCTTAAGTTGAAATCAAGGATTAATTAAAAAAACACAAGGTATTTGGCCTTATGTTTTGCTAAAAATCTGGACTACTGTTTTTTGACCCAGGTGATTTTGCCAACACTTCAGGTAGTAAGTAAAAACCCATGCAGGTGTAGCAACATATACCAGTACAACACAGCACTCTAGGGAAAAAAGTGCAGAATATTTTAATACGACCCACTCTAGTTTATGAAATAACTAGCCAAATCTGTGAGTGCTTCCCTAGCCTATGCCCCAGAAACAGTACTTCTGACTTGAGTGGAAATTTCACTTGAGCAAAGATACATATTCAACAGAAAGCTTTGAAAACTGTTCAGATACAAGTCACAGTGCTATTAGTGGGCTCTCTTAAATACTTTTATAAAGAGTGTTCTCTGCATGAGGACAGGAACCCATGTGGATAATAATGCAGAAAAAATAACAAGACAAAAGAACTGAATGGGAGAAGGAGCTCAACAGCAGAGGGTTTGTTGTTAATAATCAGAGCTCACAGCTTTCCCTAATAGTTTTTCACAGACAGTTATTCTCCGTTGCACTCAACAGGCCAAATTCCTCATGCGTCTCCAGCTGTCAGTAAACAGGGGATTAAGGGCTCTCCAGTTTGACTGTGGTCTATGTTTATTTTGTAGTGACCCAGCACTCTCCCCTCTCTGCCTAATTTTATGCTTTGTGCTACCACCAGATCCTACGTTATGGAGCACAGACCACGTTCGCCAGTGGCTGGAATGGGCAGTGAAGGAGTATGGTCTCCCGGATGTGGACATCTTGTTGTTCCAGAACATCGATGGGAAGGAGCTGTGTAAAATGACCAAAGATGACTTCCAGAGACTCACCCCAAGCTATAATGCAGATATCCTCCTGTCACACCTACACTACCTCAGAGAGAGTAAGCTAGTTTTCTGTCATTATGATACTGTATACAGTCAATTTGTGGTTGGTATCAGTCTTAGATTTAATGGTGTGGATACACTCAGCTGGGTTTTCGAATGTCTGTTGCAAATGTTGCTGTTCCCAAGAACGTAGCAGGGAGCCTGATCCAAAGCCTTTTGATTTTGATGAAAAGATTCCCACTGATTTCAGGTGGCTTTCACTCATGTTCATCAAAGAAAAGGGTTAGGGAATATTTCTACATGTCCATCTCAGAGAAAAACCAAATTGAAACCCAGCATATTCATCAGCATACTGTAGGAAGAAACTCATACGGGGTTCAGTGCTAATGTTTTTTCTGGTCACATGCTCATTTCTTTCCATTTTAATGATGAGAATGCTAAACAAGAGTGCAAACATTGATTCATAAAGTGAATTCCAGGCATGATTCTAAGGTCTGACAGCAGTTTGCTCGACTCTGAATAGGATCAGGAAGATTTCACTGAATTGAATAAAAGTTCTGTAAATTTGTGGAAAAAAGGAAGAGTCCCTGAAGTCCAAATGCAAATTACTTGTAGTACATGGCTAGCATTTCAAAGGGAAAGAAGGGACTAGTGAATTCTTGGCTTGAGGGCTTTCATCTGAGCTTGAGGAAATTTTGCAGGTTTGCCTCATTTTAAGGAAGCTAAGGTGAACACGGATTTTAGAGAAAAAAACAAGATTTGCAACACCAGTGCGGTGCAGTCTTCTCCGCACGCAAACTGTCAATAATCAGTCAGAAATATTATGCATTCATAATGTTGAATAAATGAATGCCTGAGTTCAAGTTGTAGCACACACACCTCCCTCCAAACTGCAGAGTGAAACTGACTGTCGGTAGGCTCGCATTCAAACAATCCTGTCAGGGGAAAATATGGTTTAAAAAGATAATTCACAATTTTTTTTCATTTTGGTGTTGCTTTTTGTTTTGTTTTGTAGCTCCTCTTCCACATTTGACTTCAGATGATGTTGATAAGGCCTTACAAAACTCTCCACGGTTAATGCATGCTAGAAACACAGGTAATGCTGGCACTGCTCCCATTGCTATAGGTCATCTTCTAAAAGCACAGGATTCCTTTTTATGGGTTGCTGCTAAAAATGGAAATGGTGAATCAGAAGGGAGACAAGTGTATCCTCTCCTTGCTGTGTGTGAGTTTTGTGCACAGACACACAGAAAAAAGGTGAGATGACGCAGGGCCAGATGGTTCAAAAATGGTCTCCTTACTGGTAATTTCTCGTGTCCTACAACAGAGTGGTGTCCCTGGCACACAATAAACGGCAGGCTCGGGGCCTTTGTCTCTGAGGACATTTTTTCTCATTCTGTCTCATTGTACTGTCAGATCTGCTCCACAGATCCCTAGAAGGTTGGTGTTGTTCAAAAGTGCTTCAGTGCTTGTCTCAGTGCTATGGGCTCTGGTGAATGGCGACTGCCTCCCCACACATGCAGTATATGTGGTGTAATTCAATAAAATTGCTATTTAGGCAGTTAACTCATCTCATTTGTCAGCTATATGGGACTTGAACTGGAAACTCCACTAATTTTGATGTTGCAATCTCCACTAAGACTGATCTGAATGTAAAATGACTTTTGTTAATATTCATCCTTCTGTTATTTTGGCCCAGAAAAGTATTGAGTGTAGGTAGGAGGATGATACAGTACATGCCTCAAAAGCATCTGTCTTTCAGGATGTTGCTTAAAATGTTTATGAAAATAATTCAGAATAAATTTTACCTTGCTCTAGCAGTTGTGCAACAGAGGATGGCATGGAACTGTACATATAGTATGGTGAACATACTGATTAAAGATGTTTGGAATATTGCATGATCATGCCTGAGGGTGTTAGTTACCTACAGTGACCAGAAATAACAATTATTTGTGAGAAATGAAAAAGATAATACAAAGGATAATGCAAAGGAAAAAAAAAAAAACACAACAAAACCTTGGATTGTGATGCCTCTTTCATTTTTCATTTAGTTTTTCACTGTGGTAAATAGCAGTGGGTTTCCTAGCAAAATTAACTAGATTAGAAGATCTCTCCCTGAGATTAGATGTCTGCCACGTTACATAAAGTTCTACTGTGGGCTGTAGGCCTGCTACAAACCCCACCAAAAGCAACAAAAATTTTTCCATTGACTTTGATGGTGTTTGGAACAAGCCTTAAGCCCTTTTTAAAAATAGATGGACTCAATGGTCTTTTCCATCTCTGGCTTTCCAGATTCTAATTTGCCAAGCAGTTTCTGCATACAGTTATCCAAGTGTTGTTCAGCAGTTCTGTGTGTTATCTTTTTCTACGTGTGTGCACTGACAATATTTTGAAATTCATTTCACCAGCATGAGATTGTCTGCATTTCTGTCATTGGGAGTGTGAATAATATCATGCTGATCATCAGAATAAGGAAAATTAGTTATTCTGTTGGCATAAGAACTTTGAAGTGGGATTTTCAAAGGACTCCAAAAGAGTTAAAAACAAGGTCTTCTTGAAGTCAGCAGTAATTGCACAAATCCTTATGACCCTAATTTTCATGTTCCTAGAGATGGTCATTAGAAGTCTGTTGACGTAGTTAGAGCAATTTCAATGCCTGAGATAAGTGAGATACCATTTTCTATATCAAGCCTAATATTTTTAATTTTTTCACTCTGTGAAGAGAATGAGATTTCTGAGAGCCTGAACCAAAGCTGACCAAAGTCTGTGAGAAGATTCCCACAGACACCAATAGGCTTTGGCCCAGGCCTACAGTCTCTGTTGAAAATATGGACTTGTTTGGGAAGTGCATGCTCTAATGAAAAGAAGGCAAAGAAGTTTTATTTCAGAAGATACAAAACCACCTGCCCAGGTGGAGATGATTGCGATCAGGGTAGAAGGGCTATCTTGAATTTGTCTGTCTCCTCTCTTAACATGGATTTTGCACAGACTTTTATCCAGTAATTTGAACAGATTTACACAGGTGCAAAGGCTATCAGAATTAACGTTTATGAATATCCTAAGATAGAAATTAGTCATTCAGACACACTACGAGAGGGAAAATATCAGTGGGCTTAGGGACTGTGAAAATGAATCTTTAGGTGTTATGTCTTCTTCTTTCTCTTTAGGAGGTGCCACTTTTATTTTTCCAAATACATCAGTTTATCCAGAAGCGACACAAAGAATTACAACCAGGCCAGGTATGAACAATGACCGCCTTTTCTATGCTACGATCTTACTAATTTCATCTATTGAAGTATCTCGTTCTTTTTCTCCTTCAACTCTCTTTTCATAAATATTAGGCTATATTTTGAATACACAGACATATTATATACATATACTTTATATATATGTGTGTGTATATATCGTTGTGTAGTGTGAGACGGTTCAGTAGAGCAGCTTAATAACTCTGTTTCTTCCATATATCTCTGTCTTTGAAGCACCAGGGAATCAGAAGACCTGAGCTCTATTCACTGGTTCTGTTGTGTTGTCCCAGCACAGTCACTTTTCAATGTGCTTCAGCTCTCTGTCTGTAAAATGCGGCAAAATGCTCTCTTTTATAATGCTATTTGAGGTATATTGGGAAAAAGTACTATAAAAATGAAGGATAGATGTTTCTCCTGTTATCTACTTTTTATTTGTGTTTGAGGCAAACAAACCCCACAATATCTGATTGTGAGTTTAAGAGACTAAATAAATAAAATCAAAACATAAGAAAGTTCTTACTTTCAAAAGTTTGAAGTGCATGGAATTATCGTGGATGTGCTGGTTTATGAAAGGCTAAAGGGAATAATTAAAGAAGATTAGGACATTGCTATGAAGCCAGAAATTTTCTTCATATCACACTTAACCACTAAAGATGATGGAAAAATGCCTAATAGGGACATTTGCTGTTCTGGTAATACGTGCAAAGTACTGTGAGACATCAAAAGGTGTCGCATCAAAATATTAAATTTAAAGAAAATCCATTACTGAGCTAGAGGCAGACATCCAAGTGTTCTGAAGGGACATAAACTTGGAATTGACTGAGCTCTTGTGAAAAGATATATTCTGTCGGAGTGAAAACGGGGGTTTTGGTGAGCAAATATTTTATCTATCTTTTATCAATGCTTTCAGGCATAATTCAGGACAGTACATACAAGCAACTTTTATGTACACTTGTATATGTGTATATGTGCACGTCTGCAGATTTGTGAATTGATAATTAAAAAGGTAGATAGGGAAACAGCTACTGGGCCATTATGTGATCAAATCTACCCTGCTCAGTTTCTCGGAAAACAAAATCTTTTGCTAGCTTTATTTCTCTATGATAGCAAATTAAAAGGAAACTACTGATCCATTGCATACATTTGGCATTTGGCTTTCATAAGGCGTTTGCCAAAGTGCCCCACAACTATCAGCATATCATAAGAAACAGATCAAGAACAGTCTAATTAACCTGTTACCAAGAGTAAATAATGGACATCTTAAGTCATGGGTGCTTTAGAATTCTCTACTGTGATCTATAGTTATTAATAATTGGAAAAAAGACTGTGGTGGGTTGGCCCTGGCCAAAATGCTAGGTGCCCACTAAAGCCACTCTATCACTCCCCTCCTTAACTGGTCAGGGGAGAGAAAAAAAAATAACAACAGGCTTGTGGGGTTGAGATAAGGACAGGGAGATCACTCAACATTTACCGTCACGGGCAAAACAGACTCTACTGAAGGGAAGTGTAATTTATTACCAATTAACTCAGAGAGGAGTAATGAGAAATAAAACCAAATCTTAAAACACCTTCCCTCCACCCCTCCCTCCTTTCCCGGGCTTAACTTTGATCCCAATTTTTCTCCCTTCTCCCCCGCAGCAGCACAGGGGGAATACAGGGAATGGGGGTTGGGGTCAGTTCATC